GTGCACAGAAACACTGAGTAACTATTTGTGAAGAGCCTGACACCTTGTGGTTCTAAACTGCAGCTACAAACTCTTATTAAAGATTTATTTAAAAACAAAATCAGTTTTTGAGACGCGTGAAAAAACAATCTCAATTTTTTTGTGTGAGACGCCACACTGGCTATGTTCAGGGTTTATTGCTGACTACACTCTGGAATCACTTCTGGCAGGGCTCAGGGGAAAACATGGGGTTCAGGGGATTAAACCTAGGTCAGCCACATGGAAGGCAAGCATCCTACCAGCTGTACCATCTTCAGTCCCCAGATATCAATTTTATTTTAGAAATATAAAGGCTTTCCATTTTATATAATCCTCATTTACTTCATGAAATCATATAGAAAATTATTATCTTCATTCCTTATTTCATAAAGATTAAAATTCAGAGTAGTACGGGGACTGGTATAATACAGTGAACACAAAGCAAAGTAACTGGTAACTTCTTATTTTTTAATATATTTACTACCTTATTTTGCTTTTTGTGTCACACCCAGTGATGCTCAGGGGTTACTCTTGGCTCTGCACTCAGGAATTACTCCTGGTGGTGCTCAGGAGGCCAGATGGGATGCCGAGGATTGAACCCACTTTGGCCACATACAAGACAAATGCCCTACCTGTTGTACTATCACTCCAGTCCCACTGGTAAAGGTAAAGGTAAAGGTAAAGGTAAAGGCCCTCCCGTTGTTCATCGATTTGCTCAAGCGGGCCCAGTAACGTCTCCATTGGAAACTTTGTTGTTACTGTGTTTGGCATATCGAATACGTCACGGGTGGCTTGCCAGGCTCTGCCGTGCGGGCAAGATACTCTCGGTAGCTTGCCAGGCTCTCCGAGAGGGGGGGAGGAATCGAACTCGGGTCGGCCATGTTGGCGGCATGCAAGGCAAACGCCCTACTGCTGTGCTATCGTTCCAGCCCACTGGTAACTGTTTAAATTTTAAACTATGAGCTGAAAGGTGAATCAAAACAGCAGAGTATGCTGCAAGTCCCGAATTAAGTTTTACTTCTTTTGAATGTCAGCATATAATGAACACATCTCTAGAACCTCTCCTGTCACAAATTAGTTCCTGACAAATTGTGTATCTGAGGGGTATTCACAATTGCTCCTGTGAGGGAGCAGCAAGTGGAGGAACTGAGAGTTGTGCATAATAACTGATGGCTGCAGAATAACCTGGTCCTTCGCACTCGGGCTCTGCTCACCATCTGTGCCACCCGGGCCTGTGCCACCATTCACGTTCAAATTTCACTTTCTCCTCTCAGCAGATTCTAAGTATTAGGAGTGTGCTATCCCAGAGCCTCTCCTCACGCCCTTCTCATTTTCTATACTTCATTTACAACAAGAAGCCAACAGCTGCTGGGGAGAAGGCAGCTGGGACAGAGAAGTCAATGATGGTTGGAGGGATCACTCGGGATGGGAGATGTGTGCTGAAAGTAGAAAGAGGACCAAACACAAGGACCTCTCAGTATCTGTAGTGCAACCCATAATGCCCAAAAGCAGAGAGAAAGAGGGAAATTTTCTGCCACAGAGGCAGGGGGAGGAGTGGGATTAGGGGGAGGGAGAGGAGGAGGGAGAGATACTAAGGACATTGCTGGTAGAGAATGTATGCTGGTGGAAGGATGGGTATTCGACTGGATCATTGTAGGACTGAAACTCAAACATGAAAGCTTTACATGTAACTGTAGTTCACGGTGATTCAATCAAAAATAAATAAAAATAAAAGTGACACATGAGAAACTTGTTTTCTGGGGGAAAAAAAAAAAGTCAACAGCTTCTAACCTGAGAAATCTAGCCTAAAGCTCTTTCCTTTGCTGCCAACTGACTGTTCAAACACCTAGTCATTCTACTAAAATAGTACCTCTCACCCCGTTTTTTTAATTCTCCCCCTTAAAACTTGTTTTTGGTGTGGGGCCACATCCAGCCATGCTCGGGGCTCAATCAGGCTTAGTCATGGCTCTTTGTCCAGGGACTGCTCCTGAGCTTGAGGGACCATGTGTGGTGCTGGGGAATGAGCCTGAGTTGACCACATTCAAGGCGAGCACCATACCCACTGTACTAGCTTACTGGCCCCTTCAAAGTTGAAAACCTGTGCTGGAAGAAATCTGCTATTTCCTGCAGAGTCAACCATCCCTTCCCTGGTCCCTCACTTCAGGACCCATCTCATTTGTCACTTATGTGTTCATTTTCCATTCTTCACAGGTATTTCTCACTGCCATGTCCCTGTTCCAGCCGCCATCATTACTACCAGCTATTCAGCTTATCTTGCAGTCTTAATTTTTCCAAATACCATGTCTCTGCCCCACAAATCCCAAATCTATTCCAAAAGAGTCTTTCTGAAGCTCAAATCAGAGCAAATGAGTTGCTCACCACTTTAATTAAACCTCTTCTACAGCTTTTCACCACCCAGGCGAGGGTCCAAATCTTCTTAACAAGATTCACAAGTCCCTGAAGGATATAACTATGTTTCTGTGTTCTGCCTCATCTCCCCACTCTTCCACCACCCTTCTCCCTACTCAACTCATGCACCAAGTTTAAATTTCCCATCCGTTCCAAGCTTTTACTCCCTGAATTTGTCATGTTTATTTCCTGCAACAAGTTATAATATGTATCCTTGCTACCTGGCATCAACTTTTCTCCCTTCCCTATTCCCAAATTTAGACAGTTCTTATTGCTCATGATATCTCAGTGAGGAAATTCTTTAAGATCACTGAGAAGTAATTACAACTTAAGTATATAATAAATACTTAATACTAAATCTTGGGTAGCTGTACTTCCTGTGTGTTCTATTAACCACTAAATTATTGGATCACGGTACCCTTTTTCTCCACATAAAAACTGCAATCCTTGAGCTTACTCATAGCACAGTGACAGGCACCTAATACACAATCAAAATGAGTTGTTTAACACCTATGGAGCACGACACATTCCACAACCCTAAATTTATCACACTGCTGTAAAGCACCCTCATGGTATCTTTGGAGTAATACAGGAATTCTCCAAAGAATGATGTTGTGATGACCAGGTTATGTGTCAATATAAATAGACCAGTGCCCAGGTATTCAAACCTTTTCGTGCAGATGTTGCTGTGTAAGTATTCAGTAGATTTTGGTTAGCTTCAACAATCAGTCAATTTGGGGCACAACCACACCTGGCTCTATGCTCAGGGATCACTTTGGGAGGCTCAGGGGACCAGTTGGGGTGTCAGAATCAAAGCCAGTTCACCATGTGTGTAGGATAACACCGGTGTGTCCTTTCTCCTCTGCTGCAGGGAGCTTAGGTTACACCCATCACAGTGCTACTGAGGCACTCCCATTCCTCTGTGTTATCTTTAGCCTCTCCTCTGTGCTCTCTTTCCCAACCAGTTAATCACCTATATCCCCAAATCACACCCTGTGATTTGTAAGGTCAGATCCTTCTAAGGACTCTGGACTTTGTACTTGTAAGTGAAATATTGCTTTTCTCTTTCACTTACGTCCTTTGCATAGTTTACTTTGGAGGATGTCCTTTTGAATAGACACAGGAAAACAGCTAATGCTATGCCTTTGTAACTTGGGAGTTAACTGACTCCAAACAATATTTACTCCTGGGCATCTGTCATATTTATTCAGCGTACGCCTTGGTTGCCCTTAGTTCCTAACACCCCCAAAGCAGGGTCCCAACGAAGGGACTGGATGGACCCAGGGCAAGCTATAAGTTACCCTGGCATCAAAACGGGACAGTCAAGCACCATGAAACTTACAGTAAGAGCATGGTCATGGATAAATTCTGTCACAACCCAAAGAGGTGACTGGACAAGGACCCTGATGGGGTTAGAAAGGACTAATTGGGCCTGAGGACTGTAGTCTGGGATATATAGTGAGATGCCCCCAGGAGAGCCACCCTTTAATAAATCTCTTAACTGTGTTCATACAAAATGTTTAGAAAGATTAAGAAGTAAATTTAAGATGACCATTTAAATGTACATGACTAAGGAAAGGAGAAATGTGCCCTTAGATGAAAGTCTGCTCTTAGATGAAGGTCTACCCTTGAGCTGATCTCCTTGCAGGATGAGATATTTGTCTTGAACAAGCTTCCCCAGAAGAAAGAGAAGGACTTTACATATGTTGACTGTACTATCTGACCTGTGGGTACTTGCTACCCACAGTTTTGGAGAACAGGGAGCCTGGGTGCGGGGACACTAGCTTGAGGGACAGTAGGAGATGGGGATGAGGGGCAGGGGTGAACTGGAGTGGGGCACGCAGTGAGACTCAAAACTGGAAACGCTGATTTCTTTCCCCCCCATAATTCTATTTTATTATTAGTTCGCTCATAAAAGTTGTGACATCAACCCCATTTATATAGAAAGCCGGGTCACATAGAAAATTGGCAGTCAGCAAAAACAAAATTCATGTCATTATTCAGTTTGAACCTGTTACCAGTTCACTTTACATCCTGTAGCACTGTCCTCCCGTTGTTCACTGATTTGCTCGAGCGGGCCCAGTAATGTCTCCATTGTGAGACTTGTTACTGTTTTTGGCATATTGAATACATCACAGGTAGCTTGTCAGGCTTTGCCGAGTGGGCAAGATACTCTCGGTAGCTTGCCAGGCTCTCCGAGAGGGGCAGAAGAACTGAACTCGGGTCACCTGGGTCGGCCACATGCAAGGCAAATGCCCTACCAAAATTTTAAACATCAAATGCATATGCCACACAATTTTACTTTTATTTGTGAATCATATTACCATGCTTCATAGCAAATATAAAATAGAAAGTTTCCAATTAACAGGATATTAATATTCTTTTTATATAAAGTCAAATGTGCGATTTATTTTTCTAAAATTTATCTATACGTTTTATTGAAAAACTAATTCTGAGACAGCAAACTTGCATATGAACAACAGAAGAGCTTGAAGTTACTAAATTAAGAGCAATATGAGAAAATAAAAACTGATTATCTGGTTCACTAGAAAAACATAAAAACTTTCACTTACCTTTTTAAACATAACTAGTGAAATGACTGCAGATGCTGTGAAAAGTGCTGCAATGATTATCATCATAATTCCAACAGGAATATTTTTGTTGAGACCAGTAAGGGATGAAATCCAACCACTAAGAAGTAATGAAAAGTGTAATTACACAAATGCACACAAAATAAGCCCTGTGCAAATAAATAAGAACACACCTTTACTTTAGTTTTGGAGTCAAACCCAGCAGTGCTCAAGGCTTACTACTGGCTCTGTGATCAGGGGTCAATTTTTGGCATGTTGGGAATCAAACCTGGGTAGGGTGCGTGCAAGGCAAGTACCTACCTGCTGTACTATCACTTCTGGCTCAGGGCACATTTTGAAAAAATACCATAATAACAAAGTCAACACAAACAAGCCAGGCAATTCTTAAAATTATTTACATGAATTAAGTCATTTCATTTTCACAACCCCATAAAATATACACTGAACAGATAAGGAACTGTGAGATTCAGTAATTTGTGCAAGGGCACACAGCTAAGTAATGATATGATGTAAATTCAAACCCAAGTGCCTAAGTCTAAATTTTTTACCAGGTTTAAAAATCAAAAAGCTACCCAAGTAGAAAACAGGGGAAAGACATGAAAAGAATTTCAACGAGAAAACACAAAGATGGCAGAATATATGAAAATATTTCCAACAATGTGAGTCACAAGAAAAATGCAAAATAATACCATAACAAGCTATTACTACGTACCTCTAAGAATGGCTTCCAAAAAAAATAAAACATGACCAGGTGGAAGCCAAAAGACTCTATCATTGGTGGGAATGTTTTTGGTTTTTTCCTTTAAAGCCATTTGGAAATCTATTAGTTTCACAAGAAAAACAAACCACATGACCCAAAAATCACATTCTTAGATATTTATCACAGAGAAATTAAAAACCTATGTTCTCACAATTGCTTATGGCAGTTTTATGGCTAAGAACCCTACACTAGAAAAAGGCCAGAGTCCTTCCACTTCAGAATGGTACAAACTGTGAATACTCCTACCTTTGATACTACCCAGGAGTAGAAGAAATGAAACACTGACAGATGCAATAACCTGGATCAATCTCCAGGAAGTGATGCTGAGTGGAAGAGCTACAAACATTACCCAGTCAGACTACACTTACGCAACACACTTGGAAGGACCAAATACCAAATGAATGGATTTGTGCTGCTGGAGGTAAGTTGTACCTTAGGAGTACAGGAAGGAGGGAAGGATTGGCTATGAAAGGACAGGATGAAGGAGCCTCTGATGATGGCCACAATCTGTGTCAAGATTCTGGTTTTCATATTAAATTCTGCTTTAGCCAGATGTTACTATTGGAGGAAACTGGGTGAAGGGCACTTTGGATCTCTTGCATTATCTCTGGAATAACTATGGGAGTCTATAATTACCTCAAATTGAATTTATTTAAAATCAGCGAACTTACATGAGTTCTATCTTTAAACAATTCATCCTGTCTGTCCACTTACTGAAAGACTGTGTTATTCAGTCACTACACATGCTATTTTCAGCTTTCACTTTTTTCTAATTTTGACTAAAACGCAAAAGAAATTTAATTGTTTCAGAATAAAGAACTGCAATAATTAAAATAGTAGCAGCACTCTAGTACTGTTTTCCCGTTGTTCATCTATTTGTTTGAGAGGGCCCAGTAACGTTTCCATTGTGAGACTTGTTGTTACTGTGCTTGGAGCGATAGCACAGCGGGAAGGGCACTTACCTTGCATGCGGCCCACCAGGCCAACCCAAGTTCAATTCCTCCGCCCCCCTTGGAGAGCCCGGCAAGCTACTGAGAGTATCTCGCCCTCACAGCAAAGCCTGGCAAGCTACCCATGACGTATTCAATAAAATAGTAGTGTCTTTTTTAAACACTATAATACCAGATTGAATATTTTTCAATTAATTTATTGAATCACTGTTAATTACAAGGTTACAAAGTTATTCATGATTGGATTTCAGGGGTACAGTAATGGACCATCAGTGTCCTCTTCCCTCCACCAAGGTCCTTCCTTTCTCTCCTGCCCCACAGCCTATCTCTCAGGCAGGCACTTTTTCTGTTCCTGAACATTAAAAAAAAATTTTTACTTCTAAAAATTACTTAAAACATCTCTATAAAGTCTCTATGTTTACAGATGACCAACAATAGCTATCTGACAATCATTATACCAATTAATGAGATGAGAGCAAACTAAATATAAGTTCTCAACAATCTCTCGTAACATGTACACAGCAGAGCAAAACTGCTACAGATGTGATCCACCTTCCAAGAACATAACTATATGCATCTCAGTTATAAGAGAAAGAAGAGCAGACCCATTTCAGCTGCATATTACTCCACCAGTTATTTCATTCAAGAAATGTTTCTTGGGGCTGGAGAGACCAGTGGGCAGAGCACTGTCAAGAGCAACCCGAGCACAGAGTTAAAAGTAGCCCCCAAGCACCACTGGGTGTGGTCCCAAAACAAAAGGAATAAAAAAAATTTACTCTGGGTTGCATAAAGTGAGAAATCAAGCTGCTATTACCTCCAGTCAGGGTTCAAATGCTCAGTTTCACTCAGTGAACAATGTACCACCAGACTGAGAATGATTCCACTTCCAAAATAATACATACGTGTACGTGACTCTGCCTTTCAAAGATGAGCCCATGGGGTACGTGTGTGTATATGAAAATCTGTGCCTAAAAAAGTGTTCTTTTAGGTATGAAACCAGTACCTTTTCCCTTAAAATTCCTGAGGTTCTTTTCCTTCCTTTCCACAATCTGTGGTCTTCCTAAACATATTTTTCTTAAGCTATCTGTTAAGACAGAGAACGTAAAATGTGCTATTTTCTAAGACTAGGAATTTAATTTTCAAATAGAATGGTATGTTGAAATGTTATGTCTTAGGGAGCTGATTAAGTGCATTTTAAAATTATTTTTACTTTTGTTTGCTTCAACCAGTCTGGCTTGCCTATGTTAATTATTTGTAGGAAGCCTGTAGGAAGCCAAATTACAGACATATGCTAGATTAAGAGATTAAAAGCAGAGTAACAAAAATAAATGACTTACCAGTTGCCCCAATTATGAAATCCTGCAGCCTGGAGTACATGAACAGCAAACTGACAAATATAGACGAAGAAGAATACAAAGAATCTGAATGAACTGTCACTCCTTTGTTTAAAAAATGGGGAGGAGAGAAAGAACAGGGGAAAACGTTACATTTTTCAGTACATTTACAGGCAGACTTAAATATTTAAAGAATTAAAACAGTTCAAATTAAAATATTTAAATAACATCAGAAACAATCTAAAATACCACAATATATAGATAATATTCAAGTAAGACACTGCATAATTATTTTCACCTTATTTTTGTTGTTTAAATTCTCCACTGTATCATAATATCAGCAAAAATTTGTTTTAGTTTACTAAACAGCAGCTTGATTTGAATTAACATACAAGTAACTAAAGTATTTCCTCACTTGTCCATTTTTTTTTCTTTTTGGCTTTTTGGGTAATACCCGGCGATGCTCAGGGCTTATTCCTAGCTTCGTCACTCAAGAATTACACCTGACGTGCTCAGGGACCATATGGGATGCTGGAAATAAAACCTGGGTCGGCAGCATGCAAGGCAAATTCCCCCTACCTGCTGTACTATCACTCTGGCCAAACTAAATGTAAATATTTAAAATACACAATTCAATAAAATTTGATATATATGTGACACCTATGAAATTACTCCAATCTAGAGAGTGGACATATGTCAAAGTTTCCTTGTGTACCTAAACAATCCTTCCCTCCTGACTCTACCAATACCTACTGTCACCACAGTTGTCCTATTTTACAATTTTATATGAACTATACAGTATATAATTTTTACTTCTTTGCCTTCCTTCACTCAGCCTGTATAGAAAACTTCCTTTTATTAATAACTAGTGTTCCACTGTATTACCTACACTGCAGTTTATTTACCTATAAACATTTAGGTTGTTTCTAATTTTTTATTATTACAACTAAATCTACTATTAACATTTTAAAGTCAACATAAAAATTATCTTCCGTTTTCTTGAGCAACTATCTCAAGTGAAATGAGTATGTAAGAAGGTATAATTTTAACTTCTAAAAGACCTTTCATACTGTTTTCCATTGACATTTCTATCTTATATTCCCGTGGACAGTCCAGTTCCCCTCATCTCACCAGCAGCTGTTAGGCCAAGCTTTTAAATTTTAGCCATTCTAACAGGCGCCTCCTAGTATTTCATTTGGTATTATCTGCATTTTCTTAGTAACTAATCATGCCCAGCAATATTTTTTAATGTTCTGTGTGATCTATATATTTTCTTGGTGAACTGCTGAAATCTTCTTGTGGTTTTTTATTTCCCTCCTTACTGTTGCATTCTGGGAGATTTGATATACTCTGGATTTAAAAGTCCCTTATGAGATAAATTCCTGTGAACATCTTTTTTTCAGTCTGTGGTTTGTTTCTTTTTTAGTATCTTAAAAAGTGTTTTTCCTTGGAGCTGCTGTAACAGTAAGAACAATTGGTGGAATGTATTAGGTACCTTGGGGGTGGAAGGGTGAGAGAGCTATATTTATCAAAACCTTATTTATAAGCATTAACATTAAATATGTGACCCAAACTGTATTAATTTTTTAATGAGTTTGCCAAGGGGGTAGAGGTAGCTGGGAAGGGACGGATCTTGAGACACTGATGGAGGTATTCCTGACAACAATGATGCGTGAGAAGCTGAAACATTGTATGTCTGACTCTACATTATCAACAGTACTGTAAATCATGGTGCTTAAGTAAAAATTGGAAATTCTTTTGAAAGGGTATCTTCTTGTAGTTTTATGAGCTAATTTACTAATTTTCTCTTTCAAGAATTTTTAACTGAATCACCATGAGATACAGTTACAAAGCTTTCATGTTTGAGTTTCAGTAATACATTTTGTAAAATGTTTTTGTAGCATCAATTAAGAAGATCATAAATGGCTTTTCTATCTTAGCTTGTAATAAGGTGAATTATATTAATTACATTTCTAATGTTAAACCAAGTCTGAGTCATGGAATAAACTTCATCTTCTTGGTCATGCTAAAACTACTACTCAGTCTGATTTGTTTGATAAGATTTCTACCTGTCCATATTCTGTTCAGTAATGACTACTGCATCTCCAAATACATTTTTATCAAGGCTTTTAAGCATTTTAACTCAATCTCAATTAAAGACTATCTTCTTTATCAGAGACAGAATAAAGAAAGCATTAGAATAAATTTCATCATACTGCTCCAGATAAGGACTTTCCGTATTTTTGTATACTGCCAATCTTCCTGTACAGTAGGCAGTACGTGTACTTTCAAAACAAGCAATTGCCTATGCAATCTTTCAGCCAGCGTTCTCGTTAATCCATGGCACTCAACACTTCAGTAGTTACTTAGTCTCTCCTCCAGTTTATTTTTACTTTCTCACTAGGTTCTTCCTTTTCAGCGTATGAACGTACACAAGTCTTTTTCCAAATAGCTCATGCTTTTATTATTTTGCACCCCCTCCAAAAAAATAAATTAAAACAATGGTTATAGAGTCTGGGGGTCACTCCAGCAACAGTTGGCCAAATGGGCCACACTTTTCCATGCTCAGGGATACAATGCAGTGTTATTGGACCCAACGGCACTGCGTACCAACAGACTTACCCAGAAGTGCTCAGGGATCACCAGAGTGGCAGCTGGCAATGTTTGGGGGCTTCCAGGCTACATCAGGTGGTGCTGAGAGGGGAGATATGCAGTGCTGTGCCAGGGATGGAATTCAGGTCCCTGAACAGCCATGTTCTCAAGGACCCCTAAGCTATCTCCCGAGAGCTCACCTTTAACCCCGTCACCCACTAAACTTCCACCTCCTCTATTTACTCCCCCACATCAATAACTCTTGGGAGTATTCTGTTACTGATTTCCTCTACATGCACTTTCTTTTCTTCTCATTGTACTCTGAATTCCTCAAGTCTCTCTTTTAAAAATCATATGACACTGAAGAACATTCTTAAAATACTGTGTCCTTGACTTCTTCAAAATTAGTCACTTCTGCTTCTGCCACGTCTCTGGTTTACACTGCTTCGCTGCTGCTTTAAAATGTATTACAAGCAAGCCCCCTGGGTGATTCCTCTATCTCCTAATATTTAAGAACACTGATGACAGGATAAAGCCTAAATAATGTAATACAGCATATACAGCTCTCATACTACACACACAAAAAAGCATCCATTCATGTTGCCCTGGACTAATGATTGAAATGTTTTGCTATCTCAATGACTGTTATTTGGAGTCTGCCTAGAATATACTGAACACAATCCTCTCATCTGCCTGGCAAACAAATGTTCAGCTTTTGTGACAAGTCACAAAGTCTACTCACACTCAAAAGATTATGCTCCAGCTCCAAATAAAAGAATCCACATTGTTTGGAAATATTTTAAAGTGAGCTGTTCTGTCACCTTCATTTATTCATTTCTTTATTACTGTAATTTATGAGTATTTTATTCACTAGGTTAAAATTTAACTGTCAGAATATATATAAAATTTTATTTACTTTGCAGTCGTCAGTGTTTACTCTGGCTCTGCACTCAGGAACCTCTCCTGGCAGGCTTGAGACACCATTGGGGCTCCAAAGATGGAACCTGGAGTGCTGTGCCAGGGATGGAAAGCAAGTGCAAAGCAAGTGCCCTAACCCATGCACTATTGATCCAGCCCCGTATCATTATTTTATTGTTCAAATTATTCCAGCTTTAGTCTTTTAATTTTTTTCCTTTTGGGTCACACCTGGCAATGCTCAGAGGTTACTCCTGGCTCTACACTCAGGAGTTACTCCTGGCGATGCCTGGGGTACCATATGGGATGCTGGGAATCAAACCCAGGTTGGCCACGTGCAAGGCAAATGCCCTACCCGTGCTATCGCTCCAGTCCCCAGGTTTAGTGTTTTAGAATCTGTTTCTTTGCATTAGAACTTGAGTTTTGTTCACTTTGTATTCTCCCTACTCTAGCCATTTCTCCAAAATGTAAAAACATAGTTATTGGTCTGTGAATGTTTTCTCTACCAGCCATATTTAAATCAAATAATTCTCATTTTATAGTAATTCTATTAGTATTATACAAGATTTGCTATTGCCTTATGAAAAATAAACCTAGATGACTGACTAAACAAAAAAAAGTCCCAAAACTGAGAGGTTTTAGTTTGGGGGGTTTGCACCCCAGGAATCTAGCCCAGGGTGTGGGCTACATGTGTGACAAGTGCTCTACCTTGGAGCCACATCTATGGTCCCATAAAATGTTGTTTTTAATTAACACCAAGTAGATACCCAATGTGTGCTTCATCAAATCTCCAGACTCACAAAGCTAATTTTCTGAAATGTATTTGTTTTCTTAACCTTTGGTAAGAGAATCAGGCTATAACTCAACATTTTCATTTTTCCTGTTATCTATATACCAAGAGACCAGAATATCAAAATAAGTTTCATATGTATACATTGTGCATATATGTGCATATATTTGTGTGATATATATATGTGTGTGTATACACACACAGACACACATATACGTACACATATATATATATATATGAGGGACGAAGGAAAGGAAAAAGGGAGACTCTGAATAACAATTTCTAGCATAGAATAATGCCTTAAGCCTTCACAAAAACTAGTTCAATTAATACAGGAATCATTCTACTTACGTTCCAAATTCACAGATATAATTTAAAAGTTGAAACTGCTTAATAACTGCCTCTAGCTAAGAAACCTATTACAGTACAGGCACAGTGTGTTCAAAATTACATAATCCTACTGAGAAGATATTTTCAATTGCAAATGGAAAAATGTTAAAATTCGTTCACCTTACATTTTTATACTAATCAAAAATCTTTAAAACCTATTTCTAAAAGCTTTCACAACAGAACCGCTTTCCCTATTTGAATAAACTGTATTTCTTTTTCCGGACAAGGAAACAGCAAAATTCATTTTATTGTGCACTTACAAGGCAATATAATTTTAAAGCACTTACAAGTTCTCTGAGATATAAACTCTACGCACCAGCAACTACTTAACTTCCTGGACTCTTACCTCTCAAACAGCACATAAATCTTCTATCTTCTGTAGCTAATCTGTCCAACTCATTACAAGTGCAAAATCATC